AAATTAGCACTGGGTGGAAGGGAATCATCCTTTATTTATTTGTTTTTTTTTTTTTTTTTTTGAAACAATCATTCCTTTATTGTGTGCCTCTTAGGAGTAAGAATATTAAAGAGTGTTTCAGATATCCCCCTTCCCTTCAAGATCTTCTCCAAACAGACTCAGAGGCTTTTTGAGCAAGGTCACAATCATTACCTGGGGATGTAATTACTGTATGAACAGTCACAATGAACTGTTCTGACATAAAGCTGGAAGTGTACATGGGTTTTTAAATAAAATCATCATTTAAGAGTTACTGTTATTGCCACTGTTAGGGAGCGTGGAGACAATTTGCAGGTGGGAGATTCCATTGTCAGTGATATCAACTTACATTTAAATATCAATGACAATTCCACCTTTTGATGGAGAGGCAGTATCCGGTAAGTTGGAAAGCTCAGTATCTAATGTATATTATCTAGGTTGTGAATAGGAGGAGGAAGAGAATCCTACATGCAAATCTCAGGGATCCTTGGGTTTGTAGGAGGACCTTGAGAAACCTGAGCTAAGCAGGCAGAATAGCTTCTAGTTTGCTGGCTGTAGAGCCCCTTCTGGGTAAGCATGTCAATAGAGGCAGCCGCTCGGGAATATTTTTAGCGCTGGCATTTTCATCTCAGCACCAGCTCCAACAGCTTGATTTCAATTAACCAACCAGACCAACAACATCAACAACAAAAACAAAACATCTTGGACCAGTTGGTTGAACTTTTAAAATGCTCTATTATTTCAGAAGAAGAAATGCTGATCTTGAAAAGTGGGATTTATATTTTTAGTGATCCGTTTCATAATATTCCCTGAACCCAAATGGACAAAAATGTGAACTCCCAGAAATATCACAATATCTGCATGCATTACATTATTTTACTGTGATGGCAAAGGTCTATTTAAAAAATATTGATTGTCTCTTCCTAAAATCCACCTGCCTATTTTTGGACACAACAGCATTTAAATAGCATTTTATCTTTAAATAGCAACACCTCATAATCGTTCTGTTAGGTATTGGTCCCAGTGGTCCTGTATTATATTATTGTTCCTCTTTTACAGATCAGAAAACTGAGCCCTAGACATATTAAGTGACTTATTCAAAGTGGCAGGGCAGATAGTTCCTGAAGCTGGTGTCCTTTAGAGAATATCATTCATACATCTTGCAGCAACATTATTACCTAGCCCTTAGGCCTTGGTCCATGGAACTATTTTTATCATCCTTAAAATAACTACTCATATTATATACTAATGGATAATAGAACTGGCCTTGTTTGGGGATGATTTTAATATCTAGTGTCTGAATATCATTGAACTATGAGATGGACCTTAGATACTATCTAGTATTTTCTTTCTTTTATATTCCTGTATCCATAAAGAAATTACTGCAAGCAACTTTCCTAAAGTATTTAATGACAGAACTGGTCAGGCCCAGTCTCCTCCACTGCAGTGTCACATTCTTTCTAGTATGCCACACATCAGCATCCCTTGTATTACCATTATTTCCTCAAGAAACATCATTTCCCAGTGGAGATTAAATAAAATGTTATAACGATAGGAACAAGATCCATTTTGGCTAACAGCCACATTACCCAATCAGATTAATAGGGCAAAGGAGAGGCCAATTATATTTCAAGGAATTGCAGTCTCCCCACCTTCCTCAGTGGCTTAGCAGACAGCATGGGTGGGAGGAGCCAGACTCCACATCTGTGTGCTCCTTCATGGAGTCCCAACTCACTTTTTTTTTTTTAGTTGTTGATATACCTTTATTATTTATTTACTTATATGTTGTGCTGAGAATCGAACCCAGTGCCTCACACATGCCAGGCAAGTGTACTACCGCTGAGCCACAGCCTCAGCCCCCAACTCACTTTTCATAGGCTGTCACCTTTGATCCTCATGAATCAGCAGAAGAGGAGCAGTGTCTCCAGGTTAGAGCTTATGGAGCTAGAATCTTCAGATTAACTGATTCATTTACAGTTAGAAGAGGTAGTTAGAAAAAGGTATTTAGAGGCAGATCAGGATTAGCCAGCATTTGTTATGGGCTTACCATTCAACAAAGATTTATTGAGCATATTTTATTGAACTCTGGAGATATAGTAAAAAACAAGAAACCCACCCACCTTACTATTAGTAAGTTACATCCTAGTGAATCTTGGTCCAAGGTCCTTCCTCATATTCCACAGTGTTGACTGGCTGCGGCTGTTATTTAGGCCTATCATTGTACATTTTTAAGATGCTTACTGGTCTTACAGGCACTAAACCTAGTTTAGCTTTCTTTGGTACATTTTGAGTATGATTCAAAGAAAAGATTCGATAGTTATGTGTTGTTTTTTTTTGGATTGTCATAAGTAGTCAGCAGGAATAATCAATATCCTATATTCTATCTGATTTTGCTTATAATCATATCATTGATCATTTAAAATCCTATTTGCCTTGTTGCCACATAGGCAAAACCAGTCTGCTTTGCTTGATCTTCATGGTTGGAAAGTGTTGTTCCGAAATGTTTTTTGATGATTGCTTAAATCTGCAGGCACTCGTCACAATGCTTGTTGAAGTAAATAGGAGATCTGTCTTAGAAAGGCTAGCAGACCTTGGTGCCAGGAAACTGCAAAAATATTACTCTAAATGGTTTAATTCTAGGCAGAACATATGTTTTAGTGTTCAGGAACCTATATCAAACAATCGTAGGTGCCAGTAAGAATCCATGAACATTAACAGAAGTGAAATGCAGTACATTTTGGTACAGATTTATGTACATGTATAATATACAGATTGCTAAGTCAGCTGTGTTTTTGTATAGTGTTAAGTTGGTTCAGGTTGTTGATATAATTAGTTAGCAAACAGGATGAGAACCGTGGGTAATGTTGTGTCTCCTCAGAGATGTGTTGAGCCATGGTAATATTTATAAAACAGAAAACTGGTTAAAATACATGGGCTCTGTTTAAGGGGAATGGATGATAATCTGGGTTATTAACAGCTCAACAGTGCTTGCTTTTTCTTGCAATTGTTCTTAGGGTAACTTTCAGCTACCTTTCTTTGAAAGTGTCAAAAAGTTGAATCTAATGACCAATATTAGCAGAAGGATAGGAGAAGATAAAGCCTTGTGATTTAATATAAGGCAATAAAGCTTCTGAACTTCATGACTTTTTTAAAATCAAATCCATCTATTTAAATCATCTATTTCTAAAGAATACATGTGTTTGAGAGATATTGAGGATAAATGGAATCCTTGGCTTCATTTTTTTTTTTTTGATACCAGATCTTCATTTATGGCTGGACTTTCTATTTGGCTCTTGTCCCTTGAGCATGACCTTGAAGCTCCTCCTTTCTTTCCTTCTCTTTTATTTTTGGTTGATGATGGCTTGAAAATAAACATTTAAAATCTACTTCAGTTATTTATTTCAAGGAACTCTATTTATAAGGTGAGTATTTTCTTTATACATTTAGGACATTGGGACCATTTTGTTTTGTTTTGTTTTGTGTTTGTTTCTTTAAGTGGCCACAGCTATTACTGGTGAGGATGAGAAATAGAACCACAGAATCTTAGGGCTGAAGAGACATTCTGTACAACTCCTCTTTGAATCTTCTCTGGAACATCCCTCTCAGTGGTTATCCAACCCATGCTTGATTAGCTTCAAGGAATGGGCTCTCACTTTTTATAAAGGAATATTCTGTTTTTAAGCAACTATATAGTCTTTCTTTCTTTCTCCTCTTTTGTTGCT